TGTATTACAAGTGTTTCGATACTTTCGCGAGTGTTCGCCGTGCAACAAAAATGCGAAACACGCCGAGCTAGAGATATACGTACGTTCTGCTCGCTCTTTAAATACGTTGTTTTCGTTAAATCGCGCCACTTAATCCGTGAAAATCGCGCGATCGAAGAATTAAAAGCTCTTAAACGCCCCGTGCACGAGCTTGATTGTATCTCTTGTACACGAGTCTGTGTACACGGACGATTTTTACGTTGCCCTCCCCTTTTACGACTGACCAGCGGCCACGGTTCCTTTCAATATCGCGAAACACACTGGGCTAGAGGCTGCGATAATTGCAACGCGTTCCTTCCCTGCGAAACAGTTCGACGAATAAACCGGCGTTAGCAAAAACAAGCGCGGTAATTGATATTTAATCGTGGCCGGCGCGCCGTAAAATTTTTCGCCGATCGGTTTTCACTTTTCCATCCCCACTCGCTCGCTCCACCCACCACTCCCGGTTACGAGTGGCACGAGAATTTTCGCGAAAAATTCGCCCTCGCCGCCGCGTGGATCCTATTAATGAACTCGCTTCTCCCCACACCCGATCGAACGATCCCCGCTTTTCTTTCTCTTTTTTTTTTTCCCCCGTTTGCGAAGATCGCCCCACCCCGCAGTTGGTCACGCGTCGAATATCTCCGCCGACAAGGTTTCGCAATTAATTCGCGGCTCGCGAGGCAACCGAGTACCCGATCGCGTCGATAAACGCTACTTTCGCCGTTGGCGTTGAAAACGCGCGAAATTTTCACAAAACGGAATACAATCGATCGATTACAGGCACTCCGGTTGATTGCTTTCGAATCGAGGCGTAACTCGCCGCGCAGCGTTTGTAAGCAGCGTTTCACGCTCTTACGAACCGTGCCGAGCGTGCTTTCGTTGTTACGTTCACCTCTTTGGTCTCGATTATGAAAATTGCCCGGTGAAATTCAGCTCGTTGACTGACACACGTACACGCGTAGGGACACATTGCGCGCACATTATCGCGTTTCGTTTATCGGAGTTGCGTGCTTGCCTGGTGAAGTGCACATCGCGCGAAAGAAACGGCGACAGAGTCACGTTAATAGAATATCGATGCTTCGACAACAGCATATTTATGTACAAGTAGCACGTGCACACGTTCCTCGGATACACGGAGCGCTCGTGGTTGAAATCGCGCCACTCGCCGCGATGACTTCGAGATTTTACATACGAACAAGATCGTTACGAAAATTTCGTATTTGAAAATGAGTCAAACGCTAAATTTAATTTCTATTATACTAAAATTCTTCCTAAAAAAAGAAAAAAAGAAAAGAAAAAGATCCAACTTGGACGGTGATGCGTCCGAATACCGTAATAATTCAATTCTCACTATAATAATAAAAAAAGGAAAAAGAATCCAACATCTTTTCTTCAAATTTCAAAATCAACCGCGAGCACGTTGCTAAACTAACGTTGAGGTTTTCCGCTAGAATATGTTCGAGCGAGCAAAGTTTATGAGAGACACGATTTTATATTCGGAAATCGATAGATAAGGGCAAATGTTTCATAAGTCACGAGAGCTACCATAATACGGAGCGTAAAACGCGAGTATCGGTGATACAGCCGGGGCGACGCGGAGTCGATATTAAGCCGGTCAGCGATATTTTTCGCAGCGTTATCTCGGTGGCAAACGAAACGAACGAACGAACGAACGAGCGAACGTTCGTTGGTGGGAGGTGAACTCCTTACAGCTGGCACGCCGTTCTCCCGGGGTTTGATGCACGACACGATTAAGCGGAGGCGAGGCAGAGATCGAGTCTCCCTCCCTGCCTCGCGAGGGAGGAAGCGCCTCGTGTATCCGGCAGAGCGCTCACGTACACGCACGTAGAGCCGGCCCCCGTACCCCTTTCCCGATGGTACGTGGCATCGGCGCGCTATGAATTTTTATGTACAAAAGTACACGTACGTATAATATAATATACAGAGCAGTTAGGCGAGCGCGTGCAAGGACAGATGCTTGAGCGATGCAGTGAAGTGCTGTGCTCTTGGTGCGTGGGTTCGTTCGCGGAGTGTTGTCAAACGCACGGATATCCGTTGACGCACATAGAGAAGATAGATGAAGAGATAGAGATAGAGATAGAGATAGAGAGAGAGAGAGAGAGAGAGAGAGATATGAAGATACAGCGACTCACGAAAGTGTTGGAACGTATCGCGCGTTACGAAAACTCAGCAAATACGATTACTCAGAAATGCGTACGGTTTAATGGACAGGAGGATTTACGTATTTTACATGGACGCTGGAATGTCGAATAAAATTCCAAGGATATATCGCGGGATACGTTCGTGAAAAATTCCTACGAGTGTTCGAAACACACTTTCGCGAATATTGTAGGTACATACGGTTAGAAAGAGAGAGACAGAGAGAGAGAGAGAGAAAGAGGCATAAAGATGGACGCATACACGCACACGTACACGCCCTAGCCACACACGTATATGTATATATACACACAGTTGCATCGCGTAATCTCTGTCGTACGATCTTCGTACGATAAGGAGCTATCTTAAGAAATATCCTGGTCGAGAAAACTTTCCCCCGATCGTCTGCACGTTCCAGAGAGTTCGCTGCATGTGCACCGTCGACCAGTCCCCTTGTGCTGTCGGACACAGGAGCATCCTACGCGCACATGCACACACACACACACACACACACACACACACACACACACGGTTAGCGTGTGTCATATCGTGTGCACAGAGAAAGAGAGAGACAGAGAGAGAGAGAAAGAGAGAGAGAGAGAGAGAATTGCCTTTGATTGTCTCCTTTGCTGTAGCCAACATGGTCATATAATGGTGGCGGTGCGGTGGAACGTAAGACGTACGAATTGGCCGGCCCCGCGTTTGTTAATCGGTTCAAACGCGATCGCGTACTGTCGCGTGTAAATAGCAGAACCACCAAGGGCAAATAACCGTACCCTCGGCGACTAGAAAATCGCCCAGCTAGCAGGCTTAATTAACTTGGACGCCGCGAGTAACTATCGATCCCGGTTCCCGGTTTCCGTAGCACTTCGGCGGAATCGCTTTCCCGTTTAATCGAATTCGATTCCCGTTCCGCGTCTTCTTTCCTTCTTCGTTTTTCCGCCGATTCCCCCCCCCCCCACCCCCCGTAAAGGGGGGGGAGGAGAAGGAGAGGTAGGTCCTTCCTAGAAAAGGGCTCGCGAGAGAACGCGAGGGGGAGGCGATTACCGATTCGCCTCTCGGAGGATCGCTCTTAAGTACTTTCTCAAAGTATACAAAATGGCGGACGGGTTTGAAAGGGCGCGATACGATTCCCGAGGCCGGGCCGCGCGATTAGGGGAGTCGCGCGAACGATGCTCCTTAACGCTCCACCGGAAACGCCAGAGCGATCCCCCCTGCCCCCCCTCCTCGACCGAGATCCTTTGAGGCAAGTTTACGGCGAGTTTCCCGAATTTTTTCCAACTTCCGTTGCACTCTGCCAGCAGGATACAGCTGAGCTTCCTGCTTCCCCCTCTCAGCATCTGTTGGCAACCGTCTATTAAACCGCGCGTCGAGCTTCGAGTGTTTACCCCGAATCGAATTTATCTCGATTTAGCGCGATCCCTACGCTTTCGTCGAGCGTTTCGCCCGTAGGGAACGAGTAAACGTATGTATATCGTCGAAATTTCGGAACGTCGCGGTTTCGCCGGCGCGACAACCGACAATGACACAGAGATGATAGAACACCGGTAAATTATTTCGACAGATAAAACCGGTTGCTCTTACCAGCCGCGTTGCTTACCGAAGCGTTCCCGCGAAAGTACACGCACACGCTTACGACAAACCCGGGGAAATTCGAGGCAACGGTTGCCTCGCGTTAACTAATCCCGGCCAGCGACGAACAATGGAGTACACGGAATTTGCTCCGTAAACCTAATACAGAAACATTTTGTGTGAAGGTAAATTTGGCGGCACGCATCAAACACGCCGGGCTGTTATGCATATACACGAATTGTAATTAATATGCGATTGCCGTCGGGACGGAAAATTGCGCACGGGATGACTGGAGGGCGGAGACCGTGTGAGAGGAGAGAATGTATCAAACAAAGGGATGATGTAACTTCAGGTGTGCGTCGCTGCTGCGATTATCCGTTGATAATCGTTCTTTGATATATCTCGAATGGTCACATACGGTCACCCGGTTGCGTGGAATACCGTTTACTTAACATTCCTTTGTTAATATCCCGACTAATATCCGTTTCAGAGACAGAACTTGACGAGAGCTACCTTTCGAGAGTAGCTTTTCGAGTCTCGATATTCGGGCACGTCGAAACTACGTTGCAACTACATGGGCTACGTTTCATTCGAGCGATAATTGATGGCGTTGAGTGAAAATTGATGCCGCGGATACGCACGAATTAAATGACTTTAAACTGCGCGTGTCTGTTCACTGTTGGAATTTCGCTTCGATTGAGTTTATGTAGTCCCCGAGCCGAAGTTTTTCTAAAAGTCTCTGCTTTTAAATGAAAATTAAAACGACCGGGGCGAGGTGTATGCGTAGATATACGCGCGCATTCCTTACCTCGCTTTAAATTCAGCGGAGCTGGTTTAATTCCAGTTACGATAAGGGATGAAAAATTAACGTAGCGCAGAGACGAAAACGAAAAGGAAAAAAAAAAAAATAATGTCAAGTCATTCGATCGAACTACACCAGACGTGTGTAATTCAAGTATTTGTGGGCAATGGTCTGCAATTACAAACGAAGATAGAAACGAGACAAACTGAAAAGAGGATAGACGGCGAGAAGAGGAAGATAAAAGTTAAAAGTTAGACGGTAGTTACATTAATATGTACTCCATCAAAAATTCCTGCAGAGCCGTAGAGAGATGGTAGGAATGAAAATGAATGGGCGTACCGCACGTGACCAGTAGAGCTTAGAGTACCGTGGCAAATTAAATCGTCCTGGCCTGTGAAGCCTGCAAAAGAGACCGGTATCGGAAAATATTTGCTTTCAGTTCACTCACCTAGAACGCGCACTTCGACTGATCGTTGAGAGGTGAAGTTATGCTTGTTCCTGGCGGTGCACGTGTACGTGCCTTGATCGGCGGCTCGTTGCACCGTATCGATGAACAGGCTGCCGTTCGCAACCCTCTGTCTCATGTTCGTGGGCAGCCTTACTCCGTCTGCTGCAACAACGTGACCGATCAACGATTTGCCTCGTCAATCACGATCGATCGAAACTCCAAATGAGTTCTCAAGCCGAGAACTCGCTTGAGAATTTAACGTCGATCGCTCGACACAATCTTTGAATGAAAGATACCGCGTACGCACAGTGACGAGATAGAGGGCCGTATTAATGCTCACCTTTCTCCCAAACGATCGATTCGATGGGGTAACCAGCGACCGGGCATTTGATGTGAAACTGTTTCCCAGCGACCGCCGAAACCGTCGACATGGGCCTGACATATGGCAAACCTGCGATTGACAAGCAAACATATATTTCGTTTGGGGCAATTCCCCCTCTGGCGCGACATCGATGCATCTCCATGTTTCCATCGAGTGTCACGAAATATGTATAAGACTTGCAATTTCAAATGTGTGCATACAGAGTGTATCCGCAAGCTGCGGCGACAAATTGAATAAATAAAGTTAAAATACGCATTTTAACGCACTCGACGTAACTACGCAGTTGATTGAAATACTTTTTTTTGACAAAAGTCAAATAACTTTGTGTTGTACAAGAGTGCGCGATTTAATATATATATTTCATAATACAGAGTATCTGCGAGGTACGGCGATAAATAGAAAAATCAAGATACCGTTTAATATATCCGACACAGTGAAATATGTCATTTGCATAGTTTATTTGCACAGAATAATTAGACACGTGTAAATAGTTAGCTTGACTGAACTTCTTTCCCAACTCGAATAACTCTGTATGTGTAAGACTTGCAATTTAAAATATATTTCATAATCACCGAGTGTTTGCGAGGTACTATAAATAGAAACGATAAAACCAAAATACCGTTTAACATCCGACGTAATATAATGAAATAGCATTATTTGCACGGAATAATCAGACACGTGCAAATATATAATTATATGTACCCCGATTGAAATGCTCCTCCAACTCAAATAACTGTATCTTAACTTTGTAACAATTTGAAATAAAATAACCTCCCTCTCATAGTCTCTCGCCTTTCTGCGAGACTGTTTCTCCACATCCGCAGAAAAATAACATTTTCGCGTGTAACCGGAATCCAGATCTCGTTCCCTTTATTCCATCGGCAGCAGAGGTCAGAGGTGAGCCTGCAATTGCGCAACGCCTGGCGGTCGCCATTAAACAAACGAACAACCGTTGAACTGTACACTGGGCCAACTATTCATCGTGTAATGCAAATACACCGCATCGTATCAGCTTCTCTGCGTCGCAGATTATTACGTAATTGAAAACTTGCATTCCCCCTTTTCGGCTCGCGGACCCGTGAGCCACCGTGGGATCGAACTCGCGAAGCTACCAGCTCGCTCGGATACAAGGGGATCTTGCGATTCTTCGCGGAACGAAGTACAAGGTTTTCATCTTCGTCCGACAAGCGGAACGCGATTCGCAGCCGGCATAAATCCACTGATAAAACAAAAGCTGCGAGGCGGTTTTTAATTAACAGAAACCACCCCTCCAGAAGGCTTGCTGGTTAATGACAAAGGATCCCATCGAGCCCACCGATATTCCTGGCCGATCGATTCACGTGGAACGGGAACGGGAGAGCGAGAACGGGAGAAAGAGAATTAAAGTGAGAAAGAGGGAAAGAGGGAACGTAATATTCCCCGGGGTTTCCAGTCAATTTCAATCGACACCGGCCAGCGATTCTTCTCCTTAACAGTCTTTACTCCCTCCCCCGTTCTCCTTCTCGCTCTCCGGGCTCTTACCTCCCCGTACGGGCAGTACTCACCGTAAATATTGAGCCTGGCCGAGTGGCTGGCCTCGCCAGCGCGGCTACTCGCGATGCACTCGTACTCGCCCCCGTCTTCGGACTTCACCGACGAGATGTTCACGTGCGATATTACGTCCCCGTACACGGTCACGTACTGGCCAATCAGGAGTCTGTCGTTTTGCGGAAGCGGAAATCCATCCAGCAGCCAGGAAATTTGCGGCGTGGGATTACCCGCGGCGCTGCATTTCAGAGAAACCGATGGACCGGTCTGCATTGTCTGTTCGATAAACCTGTAGACCAGCTGCGGCGCGATCTCTGTTAACAGACGTTATGCTCGGATTACACATACCTCGAAGCATCGGAATACCACCACCATCGTCCCACCCTTTCCCCATCTTTTCAACCCTGCTTTCTCTCTCTCTCTCTCTCTCTCTCTCTCTTTCTCTCTCTTTCCAACTGTAATCTGTCTGAACGATCGTCCTATCTCGTCCCCACCCTCGCGTTCCCGATCCAACCTGGATTCTCCTTCGCTAATTACCACCTACTTCTGCCCTCGCCGATACTACCACTCCGCTAATATCCGGCTATTTATTTACGAGGTAGACTCTCTCTCTCCCCTCGATCTTCCTTCCAACCGCGCGCTGTCGTGCCTAACTTTCGATCCTACTTGCTGGATTAAATTCGCACTGCAGTGTACAAGAGCGCCAAGGATGAACTGGAGACTCAGAGTGTCAGGAAATAATACCACGTAGGACTATTTTTGATTACTTTCGTCATCATCGAGATAAAAAGAGAAAAATTGCGATAAGGCAGAAGAGAAGAAAGATGGAAGCGTATCGAGGACGTGACCGGACGAGGTTGAAAATGAGCAAAAGAGCAAATTTTCGTCTCGATCTCGAGCGAATTTTTTGACTCGGCCACTCTGCCAAAACTGGGTCACTGTTATAGCCGCTGTGACGCGTCGCCGCGCCTCGAGAGCAACGGCCATTTCAGCTACAACGGAAAATATCCAATATCGAAACTGTCCGAATCGGTTAACCTCTGAAAGTTTCAAACGTCCGCGTCGCGGTTCGTCGAGCAAGCGTCAGATCGACGCGACAACGCCGAGCGGCTTTCTGACATCTGATCAGCTCGTTGAGTGGTGAGCTCTAATAAGCGGTTAGATCTCCCGCCGAATAATTGGGCCTGCAGATTAATGGAACGCCGTGGATGGATTAAGAACAGCGTGGCTTAACGAAGAAACATTGAAAGTAACCGCGGCGCGTTCGCCGGCATGCGTTCCAGTTGCAGAAGGGCTCTAAATGAACGTGCCGCCGCGCGTAACGATCCCCGGGCTCCCGGGTAATGAATTCATGAACTTCACAAGCGCGGGCACGTCGACTACGAAATAACAGCCGACTTTCCTCCTCCAACTTTTCGTATGCATACCTTGATTCTTGCACGTACCCTACCGTTGCACGTAGCAACTTCGACGTTTTCGCCCAAGTTGACGTCGTTCACCGATGGTTCTGGTTCTCCCCGTGTTACGAAGTGTCAAGACTATCCGAAGAAAAACATCGGCGTCGGGAAACTTCGCGGCTGTTTCTTCCCCTCTTTCGTTTTTTTCCCCCTTTTTTTTTCTTCTTCTTCTTCTTCCCCCGGAGAAAGTCTGTGCCATTCGTCGTTTGTCTTCGACGTCTGAAGGAGATATCTCCGTCGATTTAATTTTTTCGCGATCTTTGTACGGATCTCGTCAAACACGTGTGGCACAAAAACGAAAAGTCGGCAACGTATGTGCGATGTTTGTACGAAACGAGGAAATCTCAAGGACGATGAGAAAGTATCGTTCGTCTTGAAGGGCATGAAGGTGATTATCGATAATTAAGGAAATTTAATTTTCGTTACGAGCGCCGGATATATCCAGCATCCGCGCGACGACCTGTGTGTACGACATATCATTCTAAATTAAATTACTGAAAATTTTTTGAATTAAATTTTATTATTATTTATAATAATTTCAAAGTCTCCAAATATGTCGTTACGTAAAACTTAAAGAAGTACGTCGAAAACCAGTTTATCGACGTGCAATGTGCACACTTCGCGGCGCGGTGTCCCGTTCAGTGGCGTCAGCTCTGCGGAGCGGACTTCCGTAACGAAAGGGTTAAGGATGTACGTGAGAATGTAGAATGTGGGTAAGGTGCGTTTCAGAGTCGCTGCCTAGACTCATCAGTGGGACTGATGGCAGCGACCCCTTTATACTACAGACGCTTGTTGTTATAACTCTACTCTCGCTAGGCTGGACGGTCATCCATCCTAGTGGTGTTCCGCACTCTGTTTGCTTAACATCGAAGATTCCTAGACTTCGACGCTAAACGCACAGCCACTTGCAGCTTGTACTAGTCGATGTTCGAGACTCGTACTGGAGAAACTATATGCCGTTACAGTCTATTTATTCGGCGTGAAGTGGGAAATGACCGTCGCGCTTCATCAAGGCGTCAACGAGGGGGAGAGCTTGGTAATGAAAATTCAAGATCACGGAGAGGGAGTGGGAGACGTGACGCAGGTCGCCGCGTATAATTAAAAGACTTGGCCGGACCAAGGAAGCTATTAGTAAATTAACAATTACGTCTGTCCAATTAGTCCGCCTCTCGTCATTTCGTCTTCGGAGCCGGTTGCCGCGGGTAACTTTGCGCTGCGAGTTTCCTCGAGCGGGCGCAATAATCTTTAAAAGCATCCTGCTTCGGGGTTGCCTGTTTGCTGAAACGGCTTGGAAAACGAAAAAAAAAAAAAAAAAAAAAAAAAAAGAGAAAAAGTTCCTTTCACGCGCCAGATAGAATTTAGCACATCGACCAAATTTTCGAACGCTGAAAACTCTTCGAACTTCGCATTGAATCCTTCACGAGCACCAGCAGAGAGATATCGTCGAACCGATTTCCACCGATTTTCACCAACTCTTTCGACTCGACTCGAAACACAGCCTCCACCGCGCTATCATCTAAAATTCAATAAACCGGTGGGTCGTGTCCGCGGGAATCCGAGATAGGAATCTGAGGCGAGTGACGGCCGAGTGCGGCCGGCGATAAGAAGGCAATGCCGCGCGACGATAGCGATCGTAAAGTGGCAAGCGCGGGCTATCATCCAGGGTGTAGCGTTCGACTTTTCCAGCGGAGGTTTCGTCTCGCCTTATCTCGTTCGATTCGTGAGCTGGGCGACATTCCGCGGTATCGAGCTTCTCTCGACCGGTAGGTGAGAGGGAGAAGTTCGTGAGGGAGAGAGCTTCTCCGATTACCAATGGGACGATCGTCGTCCACCCGCGATCCAGTTACCCACACGGTCGTCCGTATATGTATCAGCGAGAGCAGTCGGCCGAGTCACGAGAGGCTGCGAAACTGGCAAACCGGACGCGCAGGATCTGTTCGGTCGACAAAGGAGAGGAGAGGAGAGGAGAGCCTGTGGATTAAAGCCTCCGGGCGTGCACACACCCACGTGCGCGACGAAACGAGGCAGCAGCGTGCGCGCACACGGTCTGAAAAGCACACGGAATAAAGTCGTGGGGCTGTGGAACGTGTTGAACGTTATCCACGGCACGGTGTCCGGCCGTAGATATGTTAATCAGCCACGCTGGGCGCAAAGCGATCCTCGAACGGCTCCGGACGATAGTTGCGTGCCCGGCATCCCGAACTTCGTCGACTATAATTATAAATCAGCCACCCTTATGCTAATGTCTCTGTCCTCCATTCCGGAGCGGAGTGGCTGCTTTCGGCTGGCTCGGCTCGGACGAGTTGAAGTGAGGCGCGCTCGCGAGTCGGATCCGCGGAAGGGAGAACCGAGAGGGAGAACGCCGCGTGCACGCATAAACCGATCTCCAATTAGGCCGTGATACGCGACTTCGGAAGTTACGAGCCTGGCCACGAGTGATACCGTCTCGCCAGACGTTTTCTCAAATTGCGTTTTCGAGTTGTTCTTGATTGTTCCCCCCGAGTATTTGGAGTATTATTTAGATGTTTCCAAAGTGTCGTTTCGAGATTCTTGAAACAAATTGAGCTTGAAAGGTATTCGTGCGTACTTCTTGATTGGCTGACAGTTCATTCGTATCCATTTTGCAATTGTCGCGGTGCGACGTGGAATCTCGGAAAGAGAGCAACGTCAGAGGTCGCAGCCAGAGTCTCGAGGACGGGGGCAAGCAGCAAGCTTGCTGGGAGGTTGGTCGAAGAGAGCGCGTGCGAAGGGGGCGGCGAGCACAGGGGGTGGCGCGACAGCCGAAGCTATGCGGATCTGGCTTATCTCGTACTCGCAGACGCGTCGCAATCGATATATCTCGCGGAGGCTCCTCTCGATAGGTGACTACCCCGGCGACATCCGCGCGTAGAAGCGCCAATGCGGGGCTTTCTCGCTCTTTGCTCGCGCCAGTGCGAGCGAGAACATCTTTTGCTCGGCGGTGTGTATCGATATATATAGACGTACACATGTGTACGAACGAACATGCGTGTGTGTATGTGTGTGCGTGCGCGGAGAAGCAGACACGGAGAGTCCTCTCGGGCTCGTCCCCTGGCCTCGAACCGCTGCAGAAAAGATCAATTTTAGATTCGCAGCGATTTATAACTTCCTCTAATATGGCACCGATACGATCTCTCTTCCTAGCCTCTCTCTCTCTCTCTCTCTCTCTCTGTCTGTCTGTCTCTCTCTTTCTCTCCCTCGTCCATCATTCCTTTCTCTCTCTCCTTCTCTCTCGGTCTCTCTGTTGCTCTATCCGACTGTCGCCTAGCAGCAGCCCGTGGATCTTCGAGGACCGCTTTCCGCGCGAACGAGCCGGCATTCGGATCCTCCTCGTGGATTATTTGTTTCCATATTCCCGAGGAGAAGGGAGAGCGCGTCGCGTTAGGCCGAGCATCGGATTCACGAGCTGAAAATGGCTTTCATTCGCCGGATTTGCCCTCGTTCGGCGGATTCCTTCGACTGGAATCCTTGGACCAGCTGACTGCGGAAATAGATCCTACGGAATCGAATACGGGGTGGAGGGTGGGGCGGTCGGATTGCAGCGTCGCTCCAAGGATTTCCGTCTTACCCCTTTGGGTCCATTTCCAGATACCCTTCGCGATCATCGCGTTGCTATTGGATGTTCTTCGTGGAATTTTTATCAATGGCGATGTCCCGATGTAAGTGGGTTACAGGTGACAGGGGACGAGGAGGATCGGACAGTTGACAGAAAAACTTGGAAATTGATTTAGTTCAGGGAGGAAATGGTTCGAGTTGTTAAATTTGCTTCTTCATAGCGAGATTTTTATCTTTTCTCTCCCATGTCGTTTCAGAATGTATCGATTTCTTTTGCAA